ACAACAGACCGGTGCAGCGTCCGCATCACTGCAGCCGCAGCACCAATCCGTCTGTCGATCTCCCGCTCCCTTCTCCCATCACTCGTGAACAAGACCCCGAGATACTTAAACTCCTCTTGGGGCAGGAACTCATCCCTGAGTGGGCACTCCACCCTTTTCCGGCTGAGGACCATGGCCTCCGATTTGGAGGTGCTGATCCTCATTCCCGCTGCTTCACACTCAGCTGTGAACTGCTCCAGTGGAGCTGGAGGCTGTTACCTGATGAAGACTCCCCATACTCCCAAAGCCCAACCCACAGAACACTCAGAGGGACGTGGTCGTCGTCGGGGTCGTCTGAGTGTTCACCTCTGATGTCCACTTGCTGGTTTGGGGGTTACACCATGAACGGCTGCAGCTCAGTGCAGCAGCCGATTATGGTCCAGTGGGTCTCAATGTCCCCCGTGTTCCTCGGAATAAACACTTTTATTTATTTATGATCATTGTTAATATATTTTAATAAATGTATTTATGTAATTTTAAGGATTTTTTTAAAAAGTTTTTTAAATAATATTTTTATATTGATCAGTGGGTCTAAGTCCTGTCCTGGTATTTGGGGCTTCTGATTGTTTCTCTGTGGGACTGACACTGATGCGTGTGTGTGTGTGTGTGTGTGTGTGTGGGTGTGTAGCAGCCCCTGCAGGATGGGACTGACCCCGACCCCTACGTGAAGCTCTATCTCCTCCCCGACCCTCAGAAGATGAGCAAGAGGAAAACGAAGGCGGCGCGACGCACGTGCAACCCAACCTACAATGAGATGGTACGATCCGCTCACAGCGCTGTGAGACACTGCTGTCGATCTAAACACTGCAGCTGTGCAGACAGTGATGATGTAGCCGTGAGCTGCAGGCTGGAGGGTAGAAACAGTGTCGCTCCGACAGCGGTGTTGGTGTTAACCTGTCGGGATTTGGATCTCTGGTGTAAAGAATCGCTGATGTCACTGTGGGTCAACTCTTAGATGTTGATATGACTAACTTTGCTGTTTCCATAGCAACATCACCTTTGCCTCCCTTTGTGTCCCCAGCTGGTGTACGAGCGGATCCCACGGGGGGACCTGGACCAGAGGGTGATCCACCTCCGGGTCCTGGGAGACGGCGCCTTCTGGGAGAACACGCTGCTGGGAGAGACCTTCATCCCCCTGAAGAGGCTGGTCCCGGGCCAGCACTGGGTGGGCTGGCACAAACTGGGCCCCCCTGGCTCAGACTTCACCCACTGATGGACAGGAAACGGGAGGCAGCGGACTTAAAAGAACGAGAAGAAGAACGGCAGGCGTTCCTGCTGAGGAGGAACGGCGAAACAAAAAAAGGGAGATCCTTTCAAAGTAAAAGCCTTGTGGCTGCTCTGTGGGTGTGATGCCACGCTCGTTAGTTTATAAGAGACTGAGTTTTACTTCAGTGAACGAGTTCCACTAACAAACGCACTAACGAGCTCGCCCTGACCTTTGACCTGAGAGCGACTGGAGGAGTGGACAGACCTACAGGAGCTCAGACGTGCTCGAGCTGTTTCTTCTTCTTCTCCTCGGACCGCAGCAGGAAGTTCAACTGTGAAAAAGGAAACGAGGAGGCGCGGTGAAGAAGACGAAGCAGGTTGAAGAGCGCGGGCAGCGCCGCTGAGAAGACTTTAGGTTATTTTTTATAGCGGGTTGATTTATTTTTAAAGTGCGACTGACTGCCGGCTGCTTCATGTTTCATTCCTGGTTTCTGAACCATTTCCTGTTTTTAGCTCAGTGATGGCGGGCGTTTTGTGATCAGCTGATTTGTTTTGTTTGCGCTGTAAATGAATGCGAGGTTTTCACAATGACTGCTTCACACGTTTAAAGACGAGAGAAAATTCTGAAACACTGAAATTAAATTTTTATTGTTGGATTGTTTTTGATCATGTGACTCTGTGACGTCATCACGCTGCTCATTCATTCAGCTATCACTTCTCTCCCTGAGGGCACTTTCCCCTGATTGGCCAGCATGCGGAAGCCT